TTGAAATCGCTATAGTACTTCCTGAGATATGGTTTTTGGTCCATAAGTAGGCGACCCCACGCCCATTTTCAATTTTTGAAAAAAGCCTGTGTGCAGCTTCCTTCTGCCATTTCTTCCGTAAAATTGTTTCTGTCGTTTTTTGTTAGTCGATTAACGCACTTTTAGTGATCTTCAACATAACCTTTATATGGGAGGTGGGCGTGGTTATTATCTTATTTCTTCCATTTTTGAACTGTATATGGAAATGCCTGAAGGAAACAACTCTATAGAGTTTGGTTGACATAAATATAGTAGTTTCCGAGATATGTACAAAAAACTTAGTAGGGGGCGGGGCCACGCCCACTTTTCCAAAAAGATTACGTCCAAATATGCCTCTCCYTAATGAGAACCTTTGTGCCAAATTTCACTTTAATATCTTTATTTATGGCTTAGTTATGACACATTTTGTGGGCGTGGCAGTGGGCCGATTTTGCCCATTTTCGAACTTAACCTTCTTATGGAGCCAAGAAATACGTGTACCAAGTTTCATTATGATATCTCAAGTTACAGCTTGCACGGACGGACGGACGGACAGACAGACAGTCATCCGGATTTCAACTCTATTTGTCACCCTGATCACTTTGGTATATATAACAATATATCTGACTCTTTTAGTTTTAGGACTTACAAACAACCGTTATGTGAACAAAACTATAATACCAGGATAATGTTCTCCTGGCAGTGGTATGTAGGTTTGTGTGTCAAAAATGGGTTGAATCGGTCAATATTTCTCTTAGCCCCCAGAAAACTCAGTAAACATTTCATTAGGATGAGGCATGTTAATACAAGTAGTATGTAGTATTGGTAAAAATAGTAAAATCGGGCCGATAGTACTCCCAACTGCCATATACTACATATGTATAATGATTTCCGTTTTTCATTCATTTCATTGCAAATGAAAAGCTTGAGTTACTACCGCTACCGTTAAACTCAAACCTTACCACACAAGCAGGGAGTAGATAAATGCTACAACTACAACAACAACCAAAATTATTATCTTATATATATAAATTGTATTCCGTTATTAATTGACTAAATTCTATCATAGCTTATTTCGAGTAAAATCCTAATTAGACATTCAAACTGAAACGGCGCATGTTCGTCTTAAATATGACGGGTAAAATAAGAAAAGCGCGAAACTTGTTCATTTTACTATTTAATTACTAGGTTAGGTAAACGAAGAAGAAAGAAACGTCTAGAATTTTAATCTTTCTGGTAAATAAAACCTTTTCAGTCTTACATGAGTTTACAGCTAAGCCGGTAACGTACGCTCAGTTGATTACCACAGTGATGATAGATGATAGATCTTAATCGGGACGTAAAATCTTTCAATACTTCTAAGTGAGTTTTTTAATATTTTTCATATTTGAAATGAAATATTTTTCATAAATGAAATAAACACTCGAAATTGGTCGAAGTGTGGTCCGTTTTCTTATGGAGATAATTTTATGCTATTTCTGGTTTGATGTCGTCCAAAAGTTCACCAAACCTCCGTTTGCATATCTACATATCGTCACCTAGAATCCAAAATAACGTAACACCATTTTCGAAAATTTGCAGAGGAGTGAATAAAATACGAAAAAAATGGAACAAGAGTGAAAAAAAAATTTAATATTGGTTAAAACTGGTTTATATTTGAGCGCAGAACCTGAAAATGTCATATTATAAATTTAATTTGAAGTAGTGAATCGTAATAAATAAGATACTCAATTTCGAATTTTTCTATGATACGTTATTTTTCATTTTATGTGACGATATATTTGTTGATGCCGATTTTCGATGAACGGATGCAGAATTTCGGCTATAATACGCTAAATTTTATACTTGAGCTCCTCCAGCGTTTCTGGTTGATTGGCATAAGTCTTTGATTTAACATATTCTCAGGGAAAGTAATCTTGAAGCGTTAAATCGCATGACCTTGGAGGCCATATGACTGAGCCATTTTTCGAAATTATCGAGATACCAAACTTTGCACGCAATGTGTCCATATTTAGACGTGAAACATGAAAAKATGCACCTTCTGGTTGCACATAGAGAACGTCCACGATGTAATGCCATTTCCTGACTCAGTTCGGTAGACTTACCTTAATAGCGACAATTCTGTTTGTTGACAAAGTCATTAAGCCAGAAATAAACCTCATCTGAGATGATTTTTCGGCAAGCGTCAATTTGTGAATTTTTCGTAGAACTTAGATAATTTCAAAAGGTTATGCCAAAGTGAAACGTGACATAACGAAATGGCAAACCTTACTGAACGCATTGACAAAGCTAACTAAATTTGTCATTCAGAAATTACTGCACAAAATCTTGAAGATTTCCAACAATTAATATTAATTTTATATACGAAATTAATCCGACTTTATTTCTTTGATTGGCGAATATGTAGTGTAATATTTATGACTTCTTAGCACAAATAACTTTTCAAAGTGCTTATATTTACAAATAAATTGTTTTAAATTTATATACTAGCGCTGTATTTTTATGATACAATATTATTGGTTATAGATACGATAACATGTATATACAAATAATGTTTTATATTATAGAGGAATGAAATTCAGTGTTATATTTATATTTATCTATTCATAATGGAGAATAATATATATTTTGTATATTTCTATTCTTGATTTATATTCTTGATCACATAGTTTACCATTAGTGCAAATATTGCAAAACTAATTAAAATTATTAAATTTGAATAAATTGAATGCCAATTAATGAAAGAGTTCCCTGTACTGTTTGCTCCAACTCCCCTAAGTTGTGGATTATCAACAATACTTTCTAAACCACACATATCACCATTGGGCAATTCATTGTTACTGTTATTTAATCTACTTGATCCATTTGACATTGCGGTAGACTTAGTAACAGATTTTTGTTCGTCTTCTATTCTTTTGTTAATTTCCTCACAAATTTCTGGAAACAAGTCGCGAAAGTGTTGATTTTTTAGGTTGTAAGCAAGCGATTTTTTTGCGTATTGTTGCTTTTCGTATTGGGTTGACTCTATGGATCCAAGGGTTGGTGTTGTCTCCAACTGAAATTATTTTTAAAATGGATGAATAAGTTATATTTAAACAGAATGGTGTAACTAATACCATGAAACTTAGTAAACCAGTGAGTATGGTGCCAACACACCAAGTTGGGTTCCAAGTATCTGGATGGAAATCTGCAATTATAATTTGTGTACAATACTGTCTTAGTTGATTTATTTATTAAATTACCTGATATACTTAGACATAATCTTGTATTCGTTTTGAAGCGGCCATTTGGAGTAAGCATGTAAATTGATGGCGGCTTGAACGGAAATTCACGAGGGAAGACTAAAGTACCATGATAGAAACCACCATAATAAGGTGTATTAGCGGGGCCTTTCACTACGTAATGCCATTCAAGTATATTATTTGGCAGTGGTTCAGCTGTTATATATGGCAGGGGATCACGTTTCAGCCGCATATAGTCTTGCTTCATGCGAGATATAGCAGTAGGCTGTTTTCGACCTTTCGTTGTAACTGACATTTTTATTTTATATTCTAGAATATCGAACTAATATGTTATGTACATAGTTAACAATTTTAAACAGACAATATATTATTAATTTGAACTTGATTGAGATACAAATATCAATAAACTATATACTTCACTAGTAGTAAACTATTTTTTTTTTTTAATTATGTTGTTGTAACTAGATACCAGATACCAGAAATGGTATGCCTGTCAGGATGATAAGGATAATATAGATAGATTTTCGTCGACGTCATCCTACGGCAAGCCTAAGAAACGTGCTGTTTCGACGGTCGGACCAAAGGGAGAGGGGTGTGAAATGAGTAGGGTTAATGGGGCAATCAAATATATTGAATATGTCGGGGTGTATTCTAGATAATTAGGAGTTTAACCTGCTACAGTATCCAGAACGAAGCTGCGCAAGGGTCACTTTTGATTTACGCGGCAACTCGGGGTGTTTGTCTGCAATGACAGTGGTTTGACACAAGTACGCCATTCAGTGAGAGGGAGTCAGAGAAGGTGTCGATGGCTCTACTGTGAATGGCGGGCGGTGTTTGTCGGAGGTTCTCCTAAAATAATTTTAACCGCCTGCCATGGTTGTTACGTTTGTCGACCTGCTTGCTGCTGTCTTTTCAGCTCTTCCAGAGTTATGTATTTGGTAATGATTTGTTTAACATTATTAGAATGTAATTGCATAATCGTCGCTGATTTTTTAAACAAAAGGCTTCCTTTAATGTTTTCTGAAGGAATGAAATAAATGTACACATTTTCACGTCTTTTTGTGCTGAGGTTCGAACGTTCTGCGGTCACGTCACGAAATAGCTTTTTATATTTATATATGTACATATAGCAAATAAAATATGTATCACATGTTTTAATATATAACATATCTACTTTCTCCGCGATGTTATTAAATTGTACAACAGTGTCTAATACTTCCACTTTAAGCTTATAGCCTTAAAAATATATGTATATTGTAAAATAAGTTTACTGCTATACTGGGAAGAACAGAAACGACGTCGGGTCTACGTAACCGGAACGGACCCGGATTTTTATCCGCCAAGGACTGTCAACTCGGCAGAATTCTGCCGCTACAACAACAACAACAACAACAACAGAAATCAATCCGTCCGTTCCCACGATGGTAAACAGTCGGGTCAAGTACCAGAAGAAGCACGGATTATTATCAAGGACTGTCAGCTCGGAACCATTCCTCGAAATTACTTCAGGAATAATTTCTACCGCTACAACAGAAATCAATCCATTGCAAATAGGATTAACATGGTGAATTATGTGATTTTAATATTACTTGCATCTCGCTTATTATATATCGTGAACATGCTACTCTGGTGCATCTTACCGTCAAATAAAGTACACTATTATTGGGATGACTGAATTTTTGTAACTTTGACTGTTTATAATGTTAAATCAAATACTGACAGGTTTTAAGTAGTCCGCTAACGGCATTTAGCAAGCTTCTTGGAACGGAAATCGTAAAATTTTTGTAAGATACCTCCCCACGATGATACTAAGTTTACTACGATTGTATCTTTAAAACAATTTTAATGTAATAACAAATAGAAACACTGCTTTTTTTCTTATTCGTTGTAAAGATATTACATGAACCGATTGTCAGTCAGCTGTCACATTTTAATCGATAGAATTAGGAAAGTTTATACCTGTTCAAACACAATCACTTTTGTTGCGGTAACGCGAAATTTCCGGTGAGTGCGAAAAAAGACTGCTAAAAATATTTTAATCAATTTTTATATCCTGAACAGGGTATACATGAACATTTGACGTGCTATCTTCACGAAATTTGATATGAGTTATTGTTCATAGAAATATTGTAACACACAGAAGGAAGCGTCGGAGCCCTACAAAGTATATATATATATATATATATGTCTAAACAATATATTGTGCTGAGTCGATTTAGCCATGGTCTGTCTGTCCGTTTGTGTATATATGAACTAGTCCCTCAGTTTTTAAGATATCGTCATTTTCTCTTCAAGAAGCTACTCATTTGTCACAACTGCCGATATCAGACCACTATATTATCTGCCACACAAACTGAACAATCGGAATCAAGTTCTTGTATGGAAAACTTTCATATCTGACGATATATCTTCACAACAGCTGGCACAGGTTATTTTCTAAGATAATAATGTAATATACGAAGAAATTGTTCAGATCGTCTTACTACAGCATATAGCTGCTATTCAAACTGAACGACCGGAATCTATGGTATGAAAAACTTTTGCATTTGACAAGATATGTCGGAAATTTTGTATAGATTATTTTTAAAGGCAATAATGTAATCTTCGTTGAAATTGTCCAGGTCGGTTAATTATAGCATATAGCTGCCATACAAACCGAATGATCGCAATCAAATGCTTGCATGGGAAACTTCCTCATTTGAAGTGGTATCTTCATTAAATTTGGTATGAATTATTGATCATAGAAATAAAGTAATATCGGAAGAAATTGTGCAGATCGGCTCACTATAGCATATAGCTGCCATACAAACCGAACGATCGGAATCAAGGGCTTGTATGGAAAACTTTCGAATTTGACGTGGTATCTTCATTTGACATGGATTACTGCTTATGGTAATAATATAATCTCCGAAAAAATTATTCAGATCGGATTACGATAGCATATAGCTTCCATAAAAACTGAACACATAGTTACTAAAAGAAATGCACCTGTGAAGGGTATATTAGCTTCGGTGCAACCGAAGTTAACGTTTTTTTCTTGTTTTTTTTTTTTTAGTTTAATGATTATGGGTAGGTAGGAGTTTAACCTGCTACAGTATCCATAACGAAGCTGCATAAGCTTGTCGTCTGCAATTTGTGTTAGATTGATTCCAAGAACGTGATTTACTGAGAGGGTGTCGGCGAAGATGATAATCATTTCACTGTGTACGGCGATCATTACATTTTGCGTCCAAAGTCTGAATGTCATGTCTGAAGTTCCTTCCTCTGCGTTTCAATGCCTTAAGGCGATATCAGTGTAGGGGAGTTAAGGACTGTCCGGCCGATTGCATGTGTGTTGCCAATAACGTTTCATTGTTGTTGTTGTTCTAACGAATATATAAACCCCATTACGATGTTAAGGATTATTTCGGTTGTATTCAACATCATCTAAAGGGAGACCCAAGAAACGTCTGTTTCGAGGAGATTGGGCCAAAAAATTTTTCAATGTCGTCGACGTAAATGAAGAAAGTGTTCCTAGGAGACGATTCCGCTCCAAGCGGATGGTTTCAGAGGTGATTTCTGCGAGATCATTATACTCTTTAACTGGGAGCATAAGCGTCTCATTATGTAGGTGTTCAATGGGTGACATGAGGAGGTACCCTGTCGTAGTCCGAGGTGCAGTGTTCTGACAAGTTTGAAACTTCATCAGCCGTCTACTGCATCCAGATGACTATATTGATGCGCTAAGTCTGTACTCCTTCGTCCTGTCTGTAAATATGGTCACTGTAGATTTGTTGTCGAAGAATGTTAAGTTCCGTACAGAGAAGAAGCGAGAAAGGTCGGAGAGATAACCGTTTATATATGAACACATGCCATCGATTCCATTTGCCCGAAGTCAATATCGTACACGCATCAGTGTACGAGGTTATGGAAACACAATCTTGTGGCTGTAGGAGTTTCGAGATGTAGAAGTTAAACAAGAGTGGGGAGAGGACAGCGCCATACGGAACACCCTATTTAATTTATCTCAGTTTGGAATTTTCTCCTCAAAACAATACAGATGACTGACGACCGCTCAGGTTGTTCATGGTGCACCTTTTCAGTCCTGGAGGGAGGGTAGTTCGTTCTGTGTTCTCTTCAGCTCTAGAGCAAGCGTGGGAAGTTCGATTTTCTTAAGAAACGTCGTGTGGTTGACTTTTACTTTTGATAAGTCCAGCGGTAAGAGGATCGTCCTCTCACAGAGTCGTTGGTGGTCGAGGCGGTGAATTATCGAGCGCTTATGACGCTATGAGTTATCTCGCGATAAGATTTCTCCTCGTTGGTTTTTGTTGTTTGATTTCTCAGGTTTTAGTTGTGGAATCACTCTTCCGATTTTCTACACATCGGGTATTTGAGGAGTGGTTATCGAAAGGTTGGAGACATTGATTAGGTAACTTTTCCCGTCGAGCTTAGGTACTTTAGCATCAGCATGTTTATTCCATCTGGGGCAATTGATTCATAGGACTTTGCTTTTTTTAATGACAACCTCCTCATCGGTGAAAGTAAATATTGCACAGTCTTTTGGCATTTTGTGCAGCTATCCTTTGGCTTTATCTACCGAATTGTGCACTGTGATTTGCCGGGTAAAATAGCACGCACACTTCTTCGGGTCTGAAGATCCCTGGCAAATGAATTGAATTTCAACTCGATCATCATCGTCTCTTCAGTTTAGACATAGCCGTAACAGTAGTCCAAGCCTTACTTACGACAGTAGAGAAATTGAAAGATTTCAGATGCTCTATTCATATTGTCCGCTTATGTTGATTTACCATTTGCTGAATCTCCAAATTTGGATCCCTTATTCGGGGATTCCCTATGTGATGACGGTAAGGTGTCGCGCTCATTAGGTAAAGCAGTTGCTTTTGCTGGAAAATTGGAGCGGAGTAGCATGATTCATTCAGCCGGGATGAAGCAAACGGTTTTAGCTGCAAACAATTCCCACGATACCCGGTTCTACGTACCGGAATTGACTCGGATTTCTTCCGACCAAAGTTTTGTATTTTTGGCGATCTACAAAAACAAAAATCTGCGATGACCTTGCGGAATTCACGTCGCCAACGATTACGTCCGTAGGCATGTGTAGGGCGGGCGGTAAAAGTGCTCTCAGTAAATTCTGTGAAGACCCAGATAGCTTTGGTAAAGTTACCAAAGAGAGTTAGCATAGGTCGCCAGACAATCCTATTTACCTACCTCTACGATGGTGATATTGGGCGAGCTGCTACAGACCTTCATAATTCTGGTAGTATTTTCGGTATTTATTGTGCAGAATTTAGAGTCATCTATCTACAGTATCTGCTGCGACCGATCGTTTGGGTTAGTGAAAATGAATTTAATGAAATTAAGTTGAAAAATTTATTTATAAAATTATATTTATAGATATAATAACAATACATTAAATTTACAACAACAAAAAATTATAAACAACAAAACAACTTTAAAATACCAAATTTGAATGTAATTCATTCACGATTTCGTCAAATAATAGTCCAGTCATTTAAGCTGAAATTAGGTAAGAATCTCGGAATTCGAGATACCCAGCTGCAAGTCTATAAATACTTGTATATTGACACCCTAAAAGTTGTCTCAAAACCTTCATATGGTTCTTTTTTAATTTTAGGAAAGGTGATCAGTATTATTGAATAGATATAGATTTAAGGCATGAACAAAATGATAAAATATAATATAATAGTTAATAAAAATTGACAAATATTTATAATCATTGATTTATCGATTGTTCATCAACTATATATGGCGCGTTTTTGACCGGAGGAACCGCTTGACCTGAAGTGATGCTGTGTAGAGAAATTTGTATTCTACAATATTGATAATAAATATAAATAGCAAAAAACCCATAGGAAACAAGATACTTACAAAAATAAAGCGCAAAAAAACGATTTCTGTGACCTTTGACCTTGAAATTTAATAGTCGCGTACACCCTACTATATGCAGGTTTTGAGACAACTTTTAGGGTGTCAATATACAAATATTTACAGACTTACAGCTGGGTATTTCGAATTCCGAGGTGAACTTACTATAATGACTGGACTATAAGGAATATTGATTTCTTTCGCAATATTATCATACTCTTTTAAAATGACTTTACGCCATATGATGGCATTGATGAAACCTTCGAAGCTTAGCTTCGTTAATAAAATAGCCTGTGGCCTTGTAATTGGATGTAGTATTGTAAAAAATAGATACAATCGAGTGAATACTATCTTCTATATACCTAAAATACGATTTTCAAACTTTCGTCAAAATTAACTGACGAATAATATTGGATATACTATAGTTTAATGCCAAAACTATGTGAAGATGGTCTACGAATTACCCAAATTTCATCATGTAATTATTTTCGTTACTCTCACAAGCCTTATATCAAATAGGGCAGCCGCGTTTTTATGTTTATTCATGGGTGATAAGTAGCCTAATACCTCCCGCAGTCTTTTTGGCGAATTTGCCTTTTTACAAATAGTGTATTTGTACACTTGAGAAGTTTTTCCCTCAATTATTCTCCTCGGTGAATTTTCAAAATTCTCGATGCAGAAATCTCGCATTGATTGATTAACATGGCATTGGTCAGCAATTATATCTGCAGCTCTTTAGTTTACTGAACTAGTGAAAAATATTGGCAGTATCAGTGCAGTTTATATATGAAGGTAACAGTCGTGTGCTACATGAATGCAAACTTCTAGGCATAATTTACATTCAATGCTCATCTTTAGTTATGTCCTACTGATATTTTTTTCGATTTTTTTAATGCACTTGTTATCAGGGTATATATGCTATAAAGAGCAATAGTTTAGCTGTTAATTTAGTAAAAGCTTCCAAATAAAAGTAATAAAGTTTCTTAAATAATTTGAATTTAGAATATTTGTATTGTCGTACAAATGAAATTTATGTATGTATTTTCTATGCGTGGTTTATATTATAATTTTAAACATATACATATATACATTAACAACATAAATATTTACCAATACAAATTATTTTCAAAGTATATAACTGGTGTTTAGCGACTGAAAACTTTAACACGGCTTTTCTAAACTTTATTCCTGGTTCAGATTTTTGATTACATAATTCACTACCAAAGCAAAAATCGAAAAACTGATTCCAATCACCAAATTTGAATATAGTCCTGGCCAATTAATGATAGATTTTCGTTTGTTCTCGCATTCGTCTGATTTTACAAGTTGTGCTCCGTTAGAGCTATTTTCATTATTTGTGGCTGGTATTACATTGTTAACTGATTTTCTATTAAGTTCTCCATTTAAAAGAGCGAGCTTTTGTTTTTCATCTTCTAGTAATTTGTTTATTTCTTCGCATACTTCAGGAAACAATTCTCGAAAAATTGGGTCCTTTAAATTGTACTCTAAAGATTTTCTGGCATAACTCTTTTTCTCATAAGTCGTTGTCTCAATTGAACCTAAAGTTGGTGTTGATTCCAGCTATATAAGAAGGAACGTTGGATTAGAATTTACTTATTTTCTGCGTACAATAGGCTATTTCCAATAATGATTGAAATATTGTACATGATGAAATATTTTTTATAACATTGAGCATCAATGTATTACAATATTTATTACAACAATTATTATTTGAGTAATTAGTTTTTGAGTAATTCGTTTATATTAAAATACATAATGCAAACCTACCATAAAACTGAGTAACCCCGTCAATATGGTGCCGACACACCACGTTGGATTCCATGTATCGGGATGGAAATCTTTAAATGGAAAAAATTAAGTGTATTACAAGTAAGCGAAACGGAATACGTACCTGATATGCTAAGGCAGAGGCGGGTGTTAGTCTTAAATCGTCCGTTCGGCGTCAACATATAAATTGATGGTGGTTTAAATGGAAATTCTCTTGGAAAAAGTAATGTTCCATGGTAGTATCCACCGTAGTAAGGGGTGTTAACTGGACCTTTTACAACGTAATGCCATTCCAGGATATTGTTTGGTAACGGTTCGGCAGTTATATAAGGTAAAGGATCGCGCTTTAATCGCATGTAATCCTGTCTCATCCGTGATATTGCAGTTGGCTGCTTCCGTGGTTTAGTAGAGGCCATAATAACTTACGAAACACTTCCCTACAAGACGACGATAATTCAAAAAAGAGTTAACAAATCCTAATTAGGTTACAATATAAATTATTAATCAACTAAAATCATTATATGCACTTGAACAATAGGAATCGAGCATATTCAGCTTTGCATCTTAATATTATATTATATTATGGGCACATATAAAAATCAAATTTAGCAGCATTTTAGGTTAGGAAGTACTTTATTGTATGTTTACTCTTTTTAATAGTAGTCGTTAGGACAGGTATACTATGTATTCACGGTCATTGCAACGTACCGGCTAAACTAACATTCCGTAATCCCCACAACGAAACTTACATTGTGTAATTTAATAAATACATATATATGAATATGCTACATTAAATATCTGCATTGCTTCAACTGATCTTTTGATATTGATCTCATTCTTTGCGGTACCAAACGCTTATTCCTGCTCTGATTTACAGAAGGATACTTTTTAATAGTATTTATTTTCTGTTTTACCTATCAAAATAGTTATCAGAAATTGTATTCTTCCGTCTCCTCCCTGATAAATGTTTGATAGTACTCCCTCGCAAGATAGCAAAAACGATGATGTGTCTCTTACGAACGAATCGTGTAAACGTGTTATTGTTGGTGTTTACTTAACTATATTTGGAAACTAATTTAAATTAATTTATTTTTTATAGGAACACAACTTTTATGTCCTTTAAACTTAATTTTTTCCACATTCAAAATCTAACAAATATATCGCTTGTTTTTGTTTTTATCTAGAGGTTACAATAAACAATAATCGATAACAAAATTATATGTTGCCAATATATCAAATGTTTATGTTTTCAATTGCATATTCACACCCGAAATTAAAACAAGTAATCTTGAATAGCAGGATCAAGTATTTCCACAATTATAATGAGTTTTATTGTTGCTGTAATGATCATCTAGATCGGGTTGGAGTGGTAAGGTTTAAGTTGGTTGTTGACAAAGGCATTTAACGGGAGACCCAGGACTCGGAACAATCCGATGGAAAGAGCGGCACGATTCCGATTACTTTGGCGGAGGGGTAAAAAATCGAATTTCCGTATAACTAAGGTATGTCCGGATAGGGGAGCTTCTCCAGAGGAGGAATATCCAAAAATAATATAACAATTACTTATATTTTTTTAAATTTTCACGATTAAAAGCTCAAAAATATGCACTAATAACACAAAGTATTTCTCTATCTTTCATCAAATTTATTCACGTTTTTCACTCTGTATATTTAAATATACACTCTAAACATTGAAATAAGTTCACATTTCAATTTTATTTTGTAATATTTCACCTAAATTTATTAATTAAAAAATCACTTAGCGATCTCGGCGTTGCATAGGTTAGATTGTTTACGATTATSAGGAAAACGAGCGTTGCCACATCTTAAACACCAAATATGTAGGATTCTTAACGAATTCTCTTTGTTTATTTGCGTGGTTCTTTTTTCTACATTAATTATAATAAAAAGTATTTTATAACATTTTTTAAGTTATAATTGAGTTGTGAAAACCTTTTTCACATATTATACATTTTACATATAGTATGTATAATTATATGATTTATATTTAATAAATACATATAATTAAAACTCTATGATAATATAGTATTATAAAATTTATATAATATCATGTCGGGATGACTGATATACTTTCGCGTAGTACACCTTCTGCGTTGGCGGCCTTCGGCCGCGCTTTAGAAAAATAACCCTGGCCGAGCGAATACCCGGATGGACTGACGTAATTTCGCGGAGTATACCTTTCGGCGTTGGCGGCCTTCGGCCGCGCTTTAAAAAAATAACCCTGGCCCAGCGAATATCCGGGTGAGCTGAAGTACTTTCGCGTAGTACACCTTTCTGCGTTGGCGGCCTTCGGCCGCGCTCTAAAAAAATAACCCTGGCCGAGCGAATACCCGGGTGGACTGAAGTGCTTTCGCGGAGTACTMCTTTCTGCGTTAAAAATAAAAAAATATATTGAGTTTTTGTTATAAAGTGGTTAAAGTGGTTATATTTGTATATTACCATCACATTGTAATAAAATTTTAATTTTCGTACTGTACTAATATACTTTACACTTTATTACGTAATATTATTATATAAATTACTTATACATATGTATATACAATATTATTATATAATATTACTAATACATGTATATAATATTACTTATTTGCTTAGTAAATTTAAAAAAGAAAATATCCATATGTATGAATAAAGGAATTTTTGCGAAAAAGAGAAATTTCAGCGAATTGCCTTGTCATCACACGGCAGCACTCCATTTCGTGGTAATTTTTGGTAAACAAATGGGGTTAAAACGAGTGTAAAATGTAATTTTTAAAATGAGGATTTTTTAGGTAAAAACCTGCTAAAAGTGTAAGATATGGATTATTTACAAGTTTATAGTGTAATTTAATTAATTTCAAGTGAAAAATGTGAATAAAGTGTGTTTAATGTGGTGAAATAGCGTCTTGAAATGTACGAATTTTTGAACTTTAAGGTCGAATATCTCCTAAACTAAGCGTTTGCGTTTGTTTAAGCTATAACCCTATATATTTTTTAATCAGGAGGACTTCCTCTTTCCAACGGTACCTTCAGATCGCGGCGCCAAAGAAATCGGAATTGTGCCGAAAGAGGAAGCCCCCTAATTAAAAAATAAAAAGTTAAAAAATTCGCAAAATTCGAACATTTCAAGAAGCTATTTCCTCTATATATGCATATGGATATTTTCTTTTTTAAATTTATTAAGCAAATAAATAATATTATATACATGTATTAGTAATATTATATAATAATATTATATATGCATATGTGTAAGTAATGTTATATAATACTATTACATAATAAAGTGTAAAATATACAGTATACACTACAGAACGAGAATTCAAATTTTTTTTCAATATGAGTGCATGATAACCAAAAAATATAACTACTTTATATCTAAAACTCAGATTTTAAATATAATAATATATATGTATATCGTCACCTAAAATACAAAACAATGTATCATCAAAAATAAATGGAAATCGCTGACAGATATATTAATCAAAATTTATCCATTTTATCCGCCAACGCAGAAAGGAGTACAACGCGAAGTACTTCAGTCACCCCGAGTATTCGCTCGGCCAGAGTTTTTGTAGAGCCCGGCCGAAGGGCGCCAACGCTGAAAAGAGTAAAAAATTGTAATATGTATATACAAATGTTATATTACAATCATAGAAATATTATAATATTATCATACGATTTTACTTATCTGTGTTTATTAAATATAAATCAAATATTATTCATATACTCACATATGTAGGTATATCGGAAAGTGTTCACATATTCAATTTTAGCTTGAAAATCTTCTTTATAGTTTTTTATAGTTAATAAAAAAAAGAATCACTCGAAAGTACAAACGCTGTGAAACGCTGAAAAATCCTTCACTTTTGGTTTTTAAGGTGTGGTAAAGCTGGTTTTCCTCGTAAATATAAACACTCTAAACTTTTCAGCCATAAACTTGATAATTGATTTTTAATTACTAAATTTAGCTAAAAAATTTCAAAAAAATAAATATGAAATTTGCGCTTATTTCAATGCTTAGAGTGTATATTTAAATGTACAGAGTAAAAAACGTGAACAAATTTAGCGAAACATAGTGAAATACCATGTGTTCTTAGTACAGATTTTTGAATTTTTAAAGATGAATATTTAAAAAAATAGTAGTTATTTTTATATTATTTTTGGATATTCCTCCTCTGGATAAGCTCTCCTATCCATACATATCCCATTTATCTGGAAATTCGGTTTTTTTACCCCTCCGCCAAAGTAATTGGAATCATGCCCAGGACTCTAACGACTATCAACCCATGCGCTGATATTTTCTCTTTCTTTCTAATTTTATTTTATAGTGGCACCAACTGCTTTATTTCTAGACATTGTCTCCACCCTCTTGCTCCAATGACCTTATGGCATATTATAATGCAGCCTAGCAGAACGGAGTGGGCGATGCCACACAACTTTTTATACTATTGCAACCAGTTGCTGCAGAGTATTATAGTTTTTTTCACCTACCAATTGTACGTATCACATAAAACGAATGATCACGGTGACGAGAAAAGCTGAAATCCGATTGACTATGTGTCTGTCCTTCCGTCCGTCCGTCCGTACGTGCAAGCTGTAACTTGAGTAAAAATTGAGATATCTTGATGAAACTTTTTAAGGAGGTTTCTTAGTACAAAAAAAGTTCGAGCTCGGAAATGGGAGATAATCGGACTACTGCCACGCCTACAAATCGCCATTAACCGAAAACCTATAGTGGCATAACTAAGCACATAATTAAGATATAAAACCCCTATTTGACACAGGGAAGACCTGTGGGAAAAAATTTTGGAAAAGTGGGCATGGCTCTCTAATAAGTTTATTGTATAAATCTTTCTAAAACCATATTCGCTCAGCGCAAATACTACAAAAACTCCTACCTATAATGTAAAAATGGACGAAATCGGATGAAAATCCCGTTTAGTCCCCATATAACGATAATGTCCAAAACTACTAGAAACGCGAGAAATTAATAACTAAATAAGTCAGAGACGTAATAATTTGCTGCCGGGATGGTATATGTATATATATATATGTATATAATATAGTATAGCATCAGTAAGTTCAAAAAGAAGCAAAGAAAAGAGAATAAGATAACTTTGAGGGTCTTAAGAATGGAAATTAAAAGGCATACTAAAATTATTGCAAAATTGGTTTACTTTTAATTAGACAAAAGAAAGTATTTTACTGAGAAACTGTTAAAAAGTAAGAATCTTCACCTACAAACATACTTATGTACACATATATGTATGTTGAAGCAACTATGTACTTGTAGTATACTTATGTTTCCTGGCTTCATTAATTTCCAAAAGAAAAGATGATTTCGTTCATGGAAATTGGTAAAATTTTCATCTCTCCTACTTGTTAAAAACTGACAACTAAAACCTCTTTAAATGTGAATATACTTATATACAGTTATAACCTGATAACCTAGCATAAATATTTCAACATATGGTAGTATCAAGGTGTCGGTAAATGGCTCTGTTGTTTACATTAACTAGTACACAGTTCCAAGAGGGATTGTAGAAAGACTATCAATGATTCGCTTTCCCTCGTTAAGCTTATTAGATAAAACCTTTTTTGACTGCAATTTATAGTATGTATTCAATCATTTCATATTTACTTTTCTTTGTTTACAAATGCATTGCTTATTTGAGTATAGGCGTAAAACTGATGTCAATAGCTACCTTACTTTTATTTACTGGCCGAGCTGCTAAGCTTATCATAGCATTCCTTATCAGGTTTATACTTTATTCACAACGCATTTGAAACTTCGAGCTGATAAGGACTCAATTATCGTCTAGCTATTGAGTAGTGAAGGTCTAAAGTTCTATATTAAAATAAATTGGTTTTAAATTTATATTTTCCAAAATAAAACATGAATCAAGTCGGCAGAATCGGCGTATTGGGGGGCGGAAAAATGGCTCTTGCAATGGTGAAAGGTTTTCTCTCAGCTGGTAAACATAAATAAAAATGCTTCAAGAAAATATGATTTCAACTTAATATTTGTTTCGTGGAGGTCTTACAAAGCCCGAGCGTATAATTGCCAGTGTACATCCAGATGATAAACAAAGTTTCATGCAATTTGAGGTAGTAATATTTACGTATTAAAATGTTTGGTCATAATATTCTTCTACATGTAATACAAATATGGCATACTCAATCGTTAATTTATCATAAACATTTATGCTAACTATACTAGCAAATAGGCATTGAGACGGTGGTAAAAAACGAACCGGTTGTAGAGAAATCGGATACAGTACTCATATCAGTTAAACCACATGTGGTGCCTATTATATTAYCCGAAATCAGACCATTGAGCAACAACAAGTTGTTTATCTCAATAGCTATGGGCATCACTTTACAGATGTTAGAAGAGGTGAGTTTTACTGAGGGCTGAGTGTTATTTATTTCACAAATTCACTGGGATTTACAGCAATTATCCTCAAATGCGCGAATCATACGTGCGATGCCTAATACGCCGGCATTGGTGAAGGCGGGATGTTCGGTATATGCACGTGGTACAAAAGCAAGCCAAAAGGATGGCGAGTTAACAGTTTCACTTTTGGAAGCGATTGGCACATGTGAGGAAGTGCCGGAAATTTGGTTTGATCCCATTACAGCGCTGAGCGGGAGTGGACCAGCTTATGTATTCGTTATGATGGAGGCACTAGCGGATGGTGGCGTTCGGATGGGTTTGCCGCGTGATTTGGCATATCGACTTGCCGCGCAAACCGTTTTGGGGTCAGGACAATTGGTACGCGATACAAAGGAACATCCGGGTGTGTTGAAGGATAATGTAACTAGCCCAGCGGGTTCAACTGCGGCGGCGCTTAAAGTTTTAGAAACTAAAGGTATTAGAATCTTATTTGAATTCATCGTAACACTAACTCGTTTTTCGGCGACTTCCAAAATAGGGTTTCGTGGAACAGTTGCCAATGCAGTAGAAGCTGCAACCTTAAGATGCCGGGAAATATCAGGCAATTAATTTCACTCTATTAATTTTAGTAAAAAACACATTTTTTAAATATTCTTAGGTAATATATAATAAAAAAAAATTGTATTTTAAATAAAACTATGACTAACCCATATCCATAAAATTAAGTTTTAAGCTTTCGCAACATGTTGGTACAAATACATATACGTGGTCTGTTCAAAAATTATCGCGAATTTTTTGTGCGTTTTTATGGCGTTATCGACCATTTTGAATGTTCATTTAATTGCTGCCAGCTGTTTTGCTATCACGTGTTTTTTATCGTCTCCGAATTTTTCCTACTCAAAAAAATGGATCAAAGAACCTGTATCAATTTTTATGTGAAAAACGAAATTAAGTGCGCGGATGCATTCCGAATRTTGACTGTGGCATACGGAGAAGCTACCTTGGACCGAAGCAATGTTTATCGGTGGTACAAAATGTTCTCAGAAGGCCGAGAAGATGTGACAAAAATTGGCTTTTGCACGACTTTTTGGCCAAAAACAACAAACGAATGATGCCGCAGCCACCGTATTCCCCAGATCTGGCCCCCTATGACTTTTTCTTGTTCCCTAAACTAAAGAGGACCATGAAAGGACGACGTTACGCTTCTCTTGACGAGATAAAGGCGGCATCGGAGGAGGAGCTGAAGAAGATAAAAAAAATGATTTTTTGAAGGGCTTCGAAGATTGGAAAAACCGTTGGCACAAGTGTATAATATCTCATGGGGATTACTTTGAAGGGGACAAAAGAGATATTCATGAATAAATAAATAATTTTTGAAAAAACACAAAATTCGCGATAATTTTTGAACACACCTCGTATGTATGTACATACTTATAATTAACCGAGATAGATAGAGTTGAAATCCGGTTGACTGTCAATCCGTCCGTCCTTAGCTTGAGTAAAACTTATTATAAATTAATGAGTTTAGCTTACATATATATATGTATATCTGATATACCATTACAGCTGAATGAACTCATTTCGCTTAGGAGAAATCTTTTCGGCACTTTCTCGGACAACGTRAAAATGGGTAAAATCAGATGTGTCGGTCAATCTGTGAGTATTTTTTAAAGGAAATTTCAAGATAAACTTTTATGATCATGCAATGCGGTAGTTTACATAAAGATTTTCAAACATCAACCTGACACCATACCATATATATTAATCAATCTATATGGTATCGTAATGAAATATATTTCCGGAGATAATATGCAGTCATAAAAAAGAAAAATGGTTAAAATTTKATCAATATATCCACTAGTTTCGATAGACATTATTTATGAATTTGAAACTTCCAGTTAGCTTTATACCGTATATATCGGTCAATATTTAATACATGTATCTTCGCAAAATAAACGTGTGAACGTAGGACAATGGATTTATGTATGTACTAGGGTTTTTCACCGAAAATGTGTGAAATCGAACTACCAATTACCCCAAATTTTCATCTGATAGATATTTTCTCATACATACTCGTACTATATTAAATTTTACTGCTTTAATTGAGTGTCTAGCACATATATACTTGTATATCTATTTTAAGCTAAGTAGGTAGGTTTAAATATAAATATTTCGGCTTAAGTGAGTTTAGGGCGTAAAACATGAGTTCAAATGCATACACGATTTTGTGGAACTAAAACTAATCGAGATAGATATATATTTATGTATATATTATAAGTTTATTATTTACAATATTGCTTTAATGCGTAAAATATTATTTTTCTTCTTTACTGGCATAGACACCGTTTAAGCGGTTATAGTCGACTTAACACCAGCGCGCTAGTCGTTTCTTATTTTCACTATTTAGCGCTGATTCGAGATATCAAGTGCCGCCAGGCCCTTCTCCACCTGATCTATCCAACGGAATGGAAATCTTCCTCTTCCTCTGCTTCCACCGGCGGGTATTGAATCGAAAACCTACAAAGCTGGAGTGTTCTCTTCCATCCCGACAACATGACGTAGCCAGCCGCGGTCTCTTAATTCGTTGAACTATGTCGTATACCTCGAACAGCTCATTGTTTCATCGACTGCGGTATTCGCATTTGCCAATGCGCAAAGGATCATAAATCTTCTGCAAAACTTTTCTTTCGAACACTCCTCAGCCTGACTCATCAGTTGATGTCATTGCCCATTACGTCGCACCATATAGCAGGATGGGAATTATGAGGGACTTGTAGAGTTTGGTCTTTGGTTGGGAGAAGACTTTACTTCTCGATTGCCTATTCAGTCCAAAGTAACAGCTGTTGGCAAGAGTGATTCTGCGTTGGTTTTCAAGGCTGATATTGTTGTTGGTGTCGATGCTTTTTCCAAGTTGGACGAAATTATCTACGATTTCTAAGTGATGACTGTGACGTGTGCGTCAAGTCACGCAGACAACAACCCTATTACCCTAATATAATAAATTCCGATCCTTTGGTTGATGTTTTATACATTATCTGAATATATTAAATTCCTTCGATTAAGTTTATGTCAGTTTTGTCTGTGAATATAATTTTGGCTGACGGTATGTAAAATATGGTTATACAACTAATTTAGTTCATGATCTATAATACTTATTAGTTAATATCTTTCAAATTTATTGAAATCCATTTACGATTTCGTCGAAAAATTAAGCTGAACTCATTGCTAAATTTTTTTATACTCTTTTGTTATACATATATACATATATATGTATATATAAATGGCCAATAAAAGAACCATTACTGAGCACTAAATTAAGATATAACAAGTAAGGAAGGACTAAAGGACTGGGTGCAACCGAACATTTTACACCCTTGCAACTCGACAGAATTAAAGCCAGGGAAATACTTTAAGGTGAAAAACAATCATATAGAGGAAAGCCAGCCGGATTTTCGAAAATCCTGATATTAGTTATAAAGGGGCTAAGACAAGTTTTCGCTCAAATTCAGCTATTTTATAGCTCACATATTGATGGATATTCGCGGTACAAAGTCATCTGGAAGTTCGAAAATCTTTGTATTAAGTATATGGGAGCTAAGAGAAGTATTGGTTCGATATAACCCAAAAAAACACATTATTATATGAGAAGATATATTTTAATTTCAGTTATATGTATATATCACACATTGACCGTAATTTTTGGTCAAAAGCTAACTATAGGTACCGGGGTCAAAATATTCGATATCTAGAACTTCTACCGACAGTTGATGAAATCGGATTATAACTCCATCCACTCTTCGTATAACGGTGCTGTTAAAAACAACTAAAGCGCAATAAATCCATAACTAAGTACGCCAGATGTGTTAAATTACATACATATATGGTATGAGAGGACTTTATGGGATCCGGTGTGAAAATTGGACGATGGGCGTGGTACCGCCAAAATTTTGACTAAATTTAGTACGTGGTATTATTTTCATTTCTCCTTCTTATATAACACAATTTTAAATTCAATTTGATTCTTTCACTTTCCAGTTTACAAATCAAGAAGCAATTAATATAACGGGATACAATTTTGCACTAATCAAACATTTTTCAAATCCAAACAAAACTGTTCAAGCCCCTAGGTAGCGAAGACTTTTGACCAATAATACCGGTCAATGTGTGACATATATTATTGAAATTCAGGCAGGCAACATTGGGTTGAATCGGGCCAATACTTCCCGGGGCCCCCTTATACCTAAAACAGGGATTTTCGAACTTCTTGGTTACTTTATAGCGTATATACATATCAGTCAAAATGTGAGCTAACTTAATAAAGAGCGTAAGAGCGCATTTTTCTCATAACAGTGAATTTTTGTACCTAAAATAGATAATATTGGGCGAAAACTTGGCTTAGCCCACATATAACTATTACCAGGATTTTGGAACATCCGGCTGACTTCGCTCCATATAATTGGTGATTGTATATGAAGTACTTTAATGAAACCCAAGAAAGTTTTTTAGAATGTAGCATGTTAATAGCTAATATTATATATAAAATCAAGTCGATACTAGCCGCAACTCCCACATACTACAAATATTGATTTTCGTTTTTCTAACAAACCTTCTGTCCAATTTGTCGGTCAGTATGTGAGTTTATATAAATCTGAAATTGCTTCGATTCCGATACTATACTTGGTGTTTTACATCTGAAGGTATTTCCCTAGCATTGATCTTATAAGTTGCAAGTTATACTTGGTGAGTTACACCAGAACTTATCCCTTTCATACTTGTCTAATATAGATATATGCAATGGAATAAATGCGGAGAGGGGAGCTTCTCCAGAGGAGGAATATCGAAAAATAATATAAAAATAACTTATATTTTTTAAAATATTCACGATTGAAAGTTCAAAAATTTGCACTAATTACACATGGTATTTCTTTATCTTTCACTAAATTTATTCACTTTTTTCATTCTGTATAAACTCTAAACATTGAAATAAGTTCACATTTCAATTTTATTTTGTAATATTTTACCTAAATTTATTAATTAAAAAATCACTTAGCACACTCATTGTTGCAAAGGTGAGATCATTGTAACAAACCTCCAAGTAACAAATCCTATCATTTTCACTCATACATACGCAGGCGAAAGCTTATAGAATTACAGAAATTACATTAAGAATGCAATAGAATAAGGAAGACTCAGGGCAAAAGCCCAGGCAGTTCGTTAGGGTTTCCTAAATATTCTACTACTAAAAATGCCTTAGAAAAGGCACGAGTATGTTGCCGTTTTATGCTCTCCAATTTAATATTTTAAGTACGCTTTTATTAAATTTTCAAATGTATTTCCATTATTAAAATTCATAAGATTAAATTTACCTAGTTTTGATTAAAATTTTATTTATTGTGTCAAAATAATTGTAAATCTTTTCTATTTTATTAAAAATATCTATTTTTGTTTAAATTATTACAAATAGTTTTGTTTAGTACTGTATATATTATATGGGTGAAAATAGGCCTCCGGGGGAACCTAATACCCAAAAAATATCGGTAACGCGCCTATATTGCAACCTCTTTATTCTTTTTTAGTCCTTTTATTTGAATCTCTGTGCCGAAGAATCAACTATTTCGATCAGGTGATCTCAGCTGTTGACTACCATATGATTCTTTGTCACTTGTATGTTTCTACAAAGAGTTAGATTGTTTACAATTGTAAGGAAAACGAGCGTTACCACATCTTAAACACCACATATGTAGAATTCTTAACGATTTTTCTTTGTTTGTTTTTTTGCGTGCTCTACATTAATTACAATAAAAAATACTTTCCAACATTTTTCAAGTTATAATTGAGTTGTGAACACTTTTTTTTTGGTAAATATGTATGTATATATATGATATGCGATTTATATTTAAGAAACACACTAACTAAAACTCTATGATAATATTATAAAATATATATCATATCAGGATGACTGAAGTACTTTCGCGTAGTACTCCTTTCTGCGTTGGCGACCTTCTATAATACGTTGTTTTGTATATTAAGTGACAATATATATACTATAATATTACTATATAATATTACTTATTTGTTTATTAAATTAAATAAAGAACATATCCATATGTTTGGATAGAGGAATTTTTGGGAAAATGGGAATTTTAGCGAATTTCCTTATTATACATGGCAGCGCTCCATTTCGTCGTAATTTTGAGCACACAAAACAATGGTTAACCCTACAAGTAACAAAAGAATCAGCTGTTTTCCAAGAATTTTTCACAGCTGAGATCACCTGATCGAAATCTGCTTTTTTAGGCACAGAGATGTAATTAAAAGAAATGTAGTTAATCAACTTTTTTGTGAAAAAGTATTTGTTACGGAAAACATTAATGAAAACTTTCAAGAATATTTTTGAAACAAAAG